TAATCTTTAATAAAGATTCTAATTATTATCTAATTACTTTTGAACATAACCACTATAAAGAATTAATAATTAACTATGAACTAATAAATTTTTTGATAATATAATAAATGAAAATGAACAAAATATATAAAAAAATCTAATAAATTTGATAAATATATAAATAGAAAATAAGTATTAGAAATAATAAAAAGAGAAGAAAAGATAAAAAGAAAGATAAAGATAGAGATAGAAAAAAAGATAAAGATAGAGATAGAAAAAAAAATAAGAATAAAATAGAAAAAAGGATAGAGATAGAAATAGAAAAAAGAAAAAAAAAGCAAAAAAAAGAAATAAAGAAAAAAAGATAAAAGAAAAAAAAAGATAAAAAAAAGAAAGAAAGAGATAGAAGAAGAAAATAAGAAAAAAGTAGAAAAAGAAAAAAAAAAGATAAAAGAAAAAAAAAAGAAAGAAGTAAAAAAAGAAAATAAAAAAGATAGAGAAAGAGAAAAGAAAAGAAGAAAAAAAAGAAGAAAAAGAATAAAAGAAAAGGAAAGAAAGTGAAGAAAAAAATAAAAATAAAAAAAAAATAAAAAGAAAGAGAAATAAGAAGGGAAAGAAAAAAGAGAAAAGAATAAAGAAAAGAAAAAAAAAAAAGAGAAAAGAGATAAAGTAAGAAAATGAAAAGAAAGAGGTAAAAGAGAATAAAAAAAGAAGTGAAGATAGAAGAAAAAGAAAATAGAAGAGATAAAAAGATAGAAAAAGATATAGAAAAAGATAGAAAAAAAAAGATAAAGAAAGAAAAGAAAAAAAGGTAGGAAAAGAGAAAAAGAAATAGAAAAAATGAAAGAAAAGAGATAGAAACAAAAAAAAAAGAATAAAAGTAGAAAAAGAAAAAGAGAAAGAAGAAAAGATAAGAAGAAAAAAAAAAGAAGATAGGAAAAGAGAAGAAAAAAGATAAAGAAAGGAAAAAAAAAAAGAATAAGAAAAAAAGAAAGTAATAAAAGTAAAAATAAAAATAAAAAAAAATAAAAAAAGAGAACAGTAAAAATAATAAACAAAATAGATATTTAAATCTGAAATTACTTTTATTAAAATTATCTAACTTTAATTTTATTTAAAATTATCATTTATTTCATAAAGAATTTGTATTGTTTTTTTATAAATTACAATTAGATATTATATATTTTTTTTAATATTAATAGTAAGGTCATGCCTCTATTTTTATTAAATATTTAATTAAGATTTTACATAAAATACAAGTCTATTTTTAAAATATTATAGAAAGAATAGAAGTTTAGACTAATTTATCTATAATCTAAACCAACTGAAGTAGCCAAGACTTACTTAAATTTGGGTGTTAGTAATAATGTATAGGAGATTAGTTTGATATTTAATCTATTGGATATATTAGAAGTTAATTTTAGAACTAATTAAATTAGAAAGAAAAATGTGTGATATGAAAGAAACAGAATTTAATAATGAATAATAATTAGGAAGTTGGGCTGTAGATCTTGAAATACAGTAGGCGATCCAAATTTTGTGATAAATTTGTTGATTAAGATGAAATTAGGTATTATTTTTCTGCTTTTATTTTTTTATTTTTTATTAATAAATAGTTATATTTAATAGTTGAAAATACTAATATATATGAGCAAATAAAAAGTAGAAAAGATGATCAAATTTAGAATCTGTTAACTTTAAATGAATTAAAAATTTAAATTGAACTAATAATTTATATAGATATTTATTATTTTAATACAATAAAAGCTTTATAAAATTAAAATAATAAGAAATTAATATATAAAATTAAAAGATTTATATTTTTATATAAATTTTAACAAATTAAAAAAATTTACTATATGTTAATATTAAGTCAACTTTATTCACATTGGTACAACATTTTTAGCTTACTAATATCTATTAATAAAATAATTAAATATTTCTTTAAATGAAATATTTATATAGTAAGAATAAAAAACATGCTAATTCTAAAAGAATACAGGATTATTTTTTTATATAATTATAGTTATATATTTGCATTTGTATTTATTTTACAAAGTTTTAATAATATTGAATTCTTGGTTATGTATTTGGTTCATATGCTTTCTAATAATAAAATATATATATATATTTTTTCTTTTAAATAGTTATACTAGTATTTTATTAAAATTTTAAAATTATTTTTATAATTATATAAATATATTAACAACTAAGTCTAGTATCACTTAGTCATTCTATTAGTAACTAAGTGCAACCTATTACATTACTTTAAACAGAAATAAGTTGCTTATTTGACTACTTAAAGTTTATAATAAAAAAATTTTTTTCTTTTTATAATAAGCTTTTAAATTGTCTTTTTAACTTTATTTTTGATTTATTTTTCCTTTTTTTTGCTTTTTTTTTTTTTTCTTCTATTTTTTGCTAACTAGTCTTTTTTTTTGTTTAAATTTTTCTTCTTTTTTGATGTTTCTTTTTTTGCTTTCTTTGTTATTTTTATTTATTTTTTTTATATATTAAATTTTTTATAATATATCCTTTAAACTTGTTTATAAAAAATGTTTTAAGCTGTTTTTGCTATTATGTTTAAAAAATGTTATCTTGTTTTTGTATTTAAAAGTTATGCTAATTTGTCATACATAATTTTTAGAATTAGGCCCTTAATTAGTACTTTACTTGTTTCTATTTTTTCTATTTTTGTTTTTCTAAAGAATATTATATATAGTATATAAGATGAAACTTAAATTTTTTCTTCTTTCTTTAATTCTTTTTATGCAGTTGTAATAAATACTTTTTATATCCTTTTCTAAAAACTTGTTTGTTCCTTATATGATGCCAGATGTTCTTGTATTTCTTTGACTTTGCTTGTCAAACTTGGCATTCTGCAGTTGTATATATATCTGATCTTCTTCTGTTAAGTTCTTCTAAGATTAGAAATTTGTCTAATATATATTTTATAAAAACACTTTATTTTAAACTGCTTCTTTTTGTCATATAATATATTTCTTTAAATTATTTCAGCTTTTTTCAAAAATATATCTAATTGTAAATTATTATTTCTATTATTAGTTCTAAGTTCTTGCTTGCTACTGTTTTTTTTCTTTCTGTTCTTAGTCAGTAATTGTTTATCTTTCTACTTAATATTCTCTTTTTTGTAAAGTTATTAGGTTTGTTATTTTATTTATTTTTGCTATAACTTTTTACTTTAAACCACTCTATTTATATATTTTTTATTTTAATTAGATCAATAATTTTTACTACCTATAAAGCATTTTTTTTAAAAAAAATTTTATTTTTATCTATGTATTCTAAATCTTTACTAATGTTTCTAATTGCTGCATTACTATTTGTAAATATTT